TGGTCACTACCCATGACCCATCTTCAAAGGGTCATGGAGACTCCAGGTACTTGCTGATGGAGAAGAAAAAAGAACGCGAGTCTCGCACCACGTTTTTTGAAGACATGGAAAGGACACCTTATATTGCAGGGGAATCGAATCATTCTGTGGGGCGAGATGGATTTTGTCCATCGACAGTATCATTTGAAACACTTTAAATCCAAATCGCACACGAAAGGTTGTGTGGTTTTACCAGAAAGAGTATGCTACGCAAAAACCTGAAGGACCTGGAATCAGCCTTAGGGAAGCTCCAGGCCATTTCCCCACCTCAAGATGGATCCTTTCAATGGAGACCACCTGTAAATGGATCAACTTTTGAAGGGGAAATCCGATGACCCCTGGATTGAAAGATTCAATCCGAACCCACAGGTGTCCTGGTTGACCTGGTTGCAGGATCTGGCAGGGAAATCCAGCCATTTTTGCCCAAAGGGACACGTATCTCACCTCGTTTAAGAGCCCCCTGAACTTGGGGGAGGACGCCAGGAAAGGTTCACGCAGGAACCATCTGAGAAGGGTCCTTTGGAAAAAAATATTTGGTGGCCGGCCCGAATGATCTGTGGTCAAGCTGTCCTGGATCAGGCTTGCTGCATGTGACACAGATTGCCCGTGGGGATGAATGGGTTAAGGTTAGCATCGAAATGGGTGTCTCTTTTTGTGGAGCCCTCTTTTGGTTTTAACGGAACTAACACCACACGGACACCGGCCCCTTCTCGCGGGTCCCTGAAGAAGACGCCAACATCTCTCCCGCTCTCTGAGATGGTGGCTGAAGGGGTGAATGATTGACCCAGTTCCGTGGCGCCTTGCTGCCATCGGTAGGTGCCCCACAAGAGGTCGAGAGTGTCTTTCTAGGCGAAAAGGATCGGCCATCGTTTTATGCCAGGCAAGGCGACATGGGGGAAAACCAAAGACATGTGGGCCTTCGTTTCTTGGTTTCTACGTGCGGCTGTTCAAAACGTAGGAATGGAAAGCAATCTCGTTTGGCCCTTCTTGCCAGAGGTTTGGTCAGTTTGGGACACGAGCCAGGGGGGCGGAACTGATATTTTCCCATGTAGGCCCCATCATGTAGGCGATTTTTAGGGCACCCAAAATGGCTTGTAGTCTTCCTTTTGGTGTCCCATTAAAACCACAGAAAAAGGTGCCCTCAAAGGACAAACAAACACACACATTCACACACACACACATCCTTTAGAGCCAGGTTTAGGACGGCTCAGGTGCTCACATCCATTCTGCAGACCCCTGACGACCTGGTGGCCATTTTGAACCCCCTGACCGCCGCGGTGATGTGGCTGGTCTTGCTCACGCAGTGTGGACTCCCAAAAAGCACGGGGGGAGCTCGGAGAGACAGAACCGAGTGGGGAACTGAGTGGGAAACAAGCCTTCTACTTGGATGAATTGAGTGGTTCTCAGTTCATTTCTGTTAATACGTTTTATGGAATTTCGCTTTCGGAATGGGGACTTGCCTTTCAACCATAGTGCAAGCTGACAATCGGAGGGTTTCTTGAGACCAGCTTCCTTTCTGGAATGCCCCCTCTCCACTTCCATTGTTGGACAGAGAGTATTCACTACAGGAACCTCCGGATGCTTGAACGAGGTGCATCTGCAGTAACTACGAGTTCTGAGTCTTTGTCCATGCGAGGTTCGTGGTATACTACGAGGCCACCAAGAAGGTTCAGCAGGAGGCGCTCCGATGCTCGTCGCGTCCGGCGATCCGTTTCATGTGGGCCCTGCCTGCTCCCCACTCCGCGAGCGGGCGTGTCTGCGTGTCTGCTTGTCCGCCAGGCGGAAGCCAAGAAGGGGAAGAAGAAACAGCCAGCGCCCGAGAAGTGGGGAATCCGGGGCATCTCTTGATGGCGTTGATGGTCTTGTAGACGGTGCTTTTTCCCGCATGGCCTCGTTTCTTTTTGAACCGGCTTCCCAAAGAAGACACAGCCAAAAAGGGGGTGCCAACTCACAAACAGCCAAGTTGGGAAATCCCTTCCTAAGCCAGACGATCGAACCTTTGATGGGGATTGTGGGAAGAGAGTGCTTTGACCCTGGCAACAAAGACATATACCCTGCGTATTTCTCTGTGCTTGGGGAACGCCCCCTCCAAACGTGAACATTTGAACCCCCAAAACTAGAGACACCCTCATATTTGTAAAAAGAAGGGGTTGATTAATCACAACAAAAAGTGGTTGACATTATTCCGGGGTTGGCGCCTTTTTCTTTCAAACATGCCCAGAAAGCCCGAACTTGCAGTCAAACCTGGAGGCGTTGAGGCACCAACCTTCTAGGAGTTCCCGGACTGCAAACTTTTTGACAAAGACCAGTTTTTAGTGTTAGATATATAACAGGTGACCCACAATCAAAGCCGAGGGAATTGGAGGGTAGCAAGGGACAATCCCAGCCATAAATGAGTGCGGATATTCGCCTTTTCAATTCTTTACATGGTTCTGGGTCGGCCATTTAATTCCGGGGTCTTATTCCGACTCAAGTGGAATCTTCAGGATACGCTCGCATGGGAAACAAAGACGGCCTGGTGTCGGTTTCGCGTTTCGACGAGGTGAGCCGCAGTATTGTCAGCTGGCGTGCAACGAGAAGCGAAAATGGATCGCAGGCGTTTCGGGAGAGAAGGGTGGGGCCTAAAACATGGTTGTTGTTGGGAAACATTTTACATTTTTACTTATTGTGGTTTAGTGGGAAATCCCCGCTTTACTGCTAAAAAAAATGTTTGCTCCCCTTCCAACGTCAACCAAGAAAGCAGGTTATCAGTAACCTCTTAAGTGGTGGTTTGCATTGGTGGTTTGGGGCTTGTAGACCTACATCTTTGTTTGTTCGATTGATGCTCCAAGGGGTTGCTTCAAAATAGGGGAGCCCCCCCTGGTGCACTCATATTCTCGCCCAGCCAGTGGACACACTTTACACTTTTTTCCTTGGTGGCTCTCCCTTTATTTTAGTGGTGACCCAAAAGGTATACACTTTTTGGGCTGGTCACTGGCCAAGTGAGTATTTTGACCATGGGCTGCTTTTTTCAGTCCGACTGACAAGCCTTTTGGTCTTTGCGGAGCTCGGATCGGAGTCCTTTAGGTACCTGAGATGAAGAAGGCCTAAAGTGGGCCAAGTTGAAGCGAGCTTCCTTCAAGTTCCTTCAAGAGACAACCCTCCTTCGACCCTTTGAAAAGGGCGCAGCCAGGGACCCAGTGAAGCCACGATTCAAGGTTCCCATTTCCTGATTTTTTCGAGCAAACCAGCTGGGTGGCTCTTCATCGTTTGGAGTTGGGTCCCTTTTTGGGTTGGTTCAAAGGAAAACCAAGGGAAAACCAAAGGCTAAGCCATTTTGGGGGGTCCAACTAAAAGAAGCCACGAGTTAGACTGCTTTAGGCTTCCCCTTGTTGGGATCAGCTCGACATCATTTGCGTCTACCTTGGGAATTCCATCCGTCCCCGAACCCTGAACCCCTGTGTTTTGCCCATCAAAGCCAGTCTCAATAGGATGTCTTCCCTTGCCCCCTAGCCATTGTGGCTTCCTTAAACTAATGCTTCCAGCTACCACTATAGCAGATCACCAGGGTTTCTTACTTCTCCCTGCTTACCTGGTTACCTACTGGAATGGGAATTGGAAGCACTTGGTTCCCTCCCAACATGAAAGGCGGGAACATGGCCACGGCCCTGCAATCTTCAGTGTTAGGGGTGTGCCCGAAGCATCCGATGCATTGAGGTTCTTTCTAGTCTTTCTAGTACGGAGACCCCATGGGTTTTTGGGGGGGTCCAGGAAAAAAGGGGTCGGGGCCCCGCGCCCCCGGCGGCGGGAAATGATTTTTCAGGATCGGACCTCAGCATCCGCGGATGGCGCACGCTTCGCCTGAAGATGTCGAACCCGGAGGTTTCATAAATTTCCGCGTTGTTTTTCGGTGCTGTGATCCGATTTTGTCATTCCAATGAACCTAACACCCCTTCACACACTTTCATTCCGGGCACCCAGCCCCAAAGCTCTGCCTTTAACATCAGTACCGGAACTCCGCTGGTCCGGGTGGACATGTGGTACCGCCGAAATGCATAGAAGCTCTGGAATGATGATTCCCCTGTAAAAACCAACAGACAATGTTTTCAACCATGGTTGCAAAGTGGGTGCGAAATGGATTTCGTCAATCCACAGTGGTTCTCGCAACTCCAGGAAGGCCTGCGATCCCAACAAGCTATGCAAATATTTGGGATTAGACCTGAGAGGGGTAGGGCAAATGCATTTTCTCCGCGTGTTTGAACGACCTGAAGGAGCTGACCAAAATATGTGCACATGCAGGAGTTTAAGTCGAGCTATTCCGCTTCCGTGAAAAACCAGCCTCCAAAACCTAGGCACGGCTGGTGATCTACTTTGTAGGATGCGGGCAACCTGCTGTTTGGGCCCACAAGTCGCAAAGCAACAAGCAGGTACTTTGTAGGATGCGGGCAACCTGTTTGGGCCCACAAGTCACAAAGCAACAAGCAGGTTTTGAAAGCAGGCTTACAAAGGGAAATAAGGCCCAAGAAGGGCAAGCTGAAAGGCCGCCAGAGGGCCTTGACATTTGGTGATTTGGGGGGGGGAGTTCTCTTCAATGTTGAGGCCACGTAAGTAGGTTGCCAATGTCATAGCTGGGGCTGGCGTTATATGGCAGTGGCTCAAAATTAAAGAGCTTGGGTTACGCAGGTGTTGGTCCATGTTTCCACTTCCCAGGGTTCCATTTTCATACCGTTTTTTTTTGACCCACAGCCATATAGTTAACTACTTAACTTACCGCGGATGGACGAGATCCTGCGCCACTTTGAAACCATGGCTGACCACATTGCTTGTTGGCATTTGCAGTGGGATCGAATCATTCCAGGGTTTCTTAGGTGGTTCGAAATGGATTACCATGGTTTTCACCTGCGTGGGTTGAACATTCAAGTTGGGTTGGTGCCAAGAGCCAAAGACCCTGGCTCTGATCTGAAGAACGTCCGCGATTTTCGGCTCCAGTGAAGGGTTCCTTCTGCCATGTCTCTGACACCCGCTGGGGGCCCCGAGGTCGATAGGGCGATGAGAGGGGCAAAAAAACTACTAGTTTGCTTCTAATATCATGACCAACACCATATATTCGATCTACTTGGGCTCTTTTTGTGCTCTTCCTTTTCGTTGCCCTACCCCCGAAAGACACCCCAAAACCCAAGCCTCATTTGGCCGCAGGTTTGGCCCGAAGGAGTTGGTAGGGGCCCATACTGTGGATGGACGAAATCCTGCACCGCATTGAAACTATGGGGAAAAAATGTTAGTTGGTATTTACAGGGGAATCATCATTCCAGGGTTTCTTGGGTGGTGCGAAATGGATTTGGTCCATCCGCAGTATTGTTCAATCGTACAGCGGCAGCCTCAGGAACACCCCGAAACTTCTTAGTCCAAACGAGCCTTTCTGGGCAGAGACCCCAAAATTGGTGGTTTGGTTCGGTGGCTTGGATGTTGGGGTACCTTCCCCATTGGTTTTGAAAGGAACTGAGTTTCAAAGACATGAGGTTCTTAAGGGGATGTAAAAGGGGGGGAGGGTAAATGAGTGTGCACTAGGAAGCCCTAAGAAGGCCTAAGAAGGTTTCCAACAGACGCTTACAGCCCCTCCCTCAAGAACCTCACCACATTAAACAAGCACAGAACAACGAGCAAGCATCTACAGGTTAAACCAATTACCCCCTCCCTCAAGAACCTCACCACATGACACAAACACAGAACATCGAGCAAACAGCCCCTCCGCTTTTTTTGGGGCCGAGGACGTGCTTTGGGCCCAGCGCCCTGATGGGGTGTACCTCACCATCGACCTCAACGAGGCTCAGGACATCAAGGCGAAGCATCGTCTTTTCGGTTTTCTCTTCTTTTTTTTTTTTTGGGGGGGGGGGGGAATCGAGGAATCCGGGGTGTCGTTTTGTCTTCATTTTTTTGCAGTTGGCACCTATTTTTTTTGGTGTGGTAAAGGACAATCCAAAGCCAAATCCCACAAATAGGGGGCGTGGCCCCTCCAAAAGTGATCCGGATTTCCACTTTAAGAGAGACACGCCCCGACGAAAATCAACCAAGCGTTTAAAATGTGAAGAAGCTCGATTCCCTCACTTCTGGAGTTTCCGTGTTGTTTTGGTCTGGAGCATTTCAGTGGCAAGCAGCCGGCCTGGTTGCTTTTTGGGCAATCCACTTAGGAAGAGAGAGGTCAAGAGGTCGCAAGTCAGCCTCCAAATTGCGGTGGCTAAAGTTGATCTCGCGGCCCACCGACTTGCTGATGGTTGGAGAGCCGGGGGGGGTATCCAAGCTTGCCGGACTCAGAGCTGGGGTGTCCTTTTTGGTTTGGTTTTGCTTAGAAAACTAGTCCTGGTTTTTACCTGGTGGTTTTTTCTCATCTGCCAGGGAAACCCATCTACCAGTCCAAAAAAGACACCTAGGTCTTTTTTTCGGGGCTGCCGGGTTTGTTTTTCCGGGCACGGTAGTTCGGTAACCCTGTATCTATTCGGGGTCTCCTCGAAGTCTACCAGGTCCCCCAGTGCCCTTTACCCTTTTTTGGGGGAGGGTGCCCCTACTAAAAGAGGCTACAGAAAAAAATGGGTACCCTTATTCTAGCCTCTGTACTGGAGGACCTAGACTTTATATAGGCTGGTTTTCTGCGTACCCGACATTTGGGGCAGGGTATGAATTAGGTACCCAAACGATTTCCCATGCTAAATGGGACTAAAGGGTGAACCACAGCCGCATGAATGTCTAGTGCCACCCTCTTGGTCTCCTTTTCGAATGATTGACAAATTTGTACAAGGTCCGCAGCATATGTTTTCAGTTTTTTAATTTTTATTCTTTGGGGGGTTAGCGATAGTTGCCACTGATTTCACTTGGTTTTTCCTTCACTTTTTTTGGCGGGGGGGTGGGGAGGGGGGGGGGGTTAGTGGTAGTTTCCACCAAACCACTAACAATTAAGCTTTTAGCAGGGGATCTGGGCAAAACTTGCGGGCCTGGAGCTGTTGATGGAGGTTGGAGCCAGCCAAGCGGGTTGAACATCAATGGCCACAAAATGTCAAGTCCAGGTGATAGGCGGCACTTGCGTCGGGTGCCATATGTGCAAGCAAAACGCCTGTCTAAACCAGGCCTGGGTTGAGACAAAGAAGAGTTGCGTAAGATGCAAACGTAAAGACGTCAACAAATAGCTGCGGCGGCACTGGAACGAGTAGCGCAGCATCGATTGTTTCCACAAGCGGTACCAAATTTGGCTACCTGAGTAGCTTCATCCGAACAGTGCGCACATCCTCTGAAAAGTGCGCAAAGTCCAAACAGCGCGCAACCACCACAAAACACGCAAACAAACATTTGAGCAGAAGAAGGTGCGCGAACGAAGATGCGGGCCAGCTTCCTTGCCCGGATCCAAGTTCTTAGGCACCTTGGGCAAACGACCCACTGAAACGACCAATTCTGCACGCCGTGGTCCTCTATGTTGTGCACGGAGTGGTTCAGAGCAGCTCCGGGCGGAAGGGGTTCTGGAAGGGTGCACAGGTTGTTAGAGATACTCGACCTTTTCTTTGTTTTCACCGTACGTTTTTACCCCACTGTGATGGAGAAGACAAAATGAAGAGCTGTGCCGGGAGTTTGCTAAGGGTGAGAGCAGTTCGCAAGAACAGCGACGCCCCAAAATTTGGCCATACTGTGAATGGACAAAGTCTTGCACCAGCTAAGAATCCCTGAAATGATTCGATTCCCTCTAAATGCCAACAAACGTTACGGTTTCAATCATGGCGTCTTTTCGTTGTGCGAGACTCGCGGATTTCGCAATGAAAATAAGAGCCCGGACCCTCAAACGTTCACCTCGAAGATGGGTGATTGCAACCCATAATTGTGGAGTTAATTCCAACTTGTGGTTCTACTCACATGTTTTTGCCTGAACCCTCAAGTTTCCAACCTAAGTAGTGCACCCCAAAATTCTGCTTCATAGGTGATGTTCCAGTTTTTTTCGCGGGCATTTTAAGGGTTCGCAACACCCCACATGGTTTTCCTCTTCCCGAATCCCTGGAGCAGAAAGCTGTACTCGACCTTCCCCGTCACGGGGAAGGCACCGAAGCCGGGGACCGGGGCTTCAAATCCAGCCCCTTTACCGGACAGTCCTTTTTTTTTTTAACGGGGAAGGCGTTTCGGGGGTTCGGCGTGCGAAGACCATTTGAGTGGTAAATCCGAACAGTTTGCAGGCTTCTTTTCCTCATGGGAGCCCAAATAAGCCCTAAATAAGGTTTCTTTTCCGCTCCACTTATCAGGGGTCCCTTCGGTGAGTTAGAGTAATTAAGAGCAATCAATGTAACATTGCCTTGAATTGGGGGGTTGGTTGTTGGGCGGTCGCTTCAGGTCGCTTCAGGGACCCCTGAACTTCGGAAGTGAGTGCTCTTTCCATGGTGGTTGTTGGGACACATTTTGCATTTTTGCTTCTTGTGGTTTAGTCGTTGAAATTTTCGAACTCCAACCACACTGCTAAACTTTGAGAATTGTTTTCGCTCCCCAAGCCCAGCGTCAACCAAGTCGCCCATGTCCCCAACGGCTTGCGACTCGTAGACTTCGGCTCCAGCCACCCCCCGCGACTCGTAACGTCGTAGTCGTTAGCCGCCGCAGTGGCCAGCCATCCGGTTCCTTGGCTTCTTAGGTACTGTGGATGGACGAAACCCAATTCGCACCACTTTGAAGCCATGGGAAGCCATTGTTTGTTGTGTTTACAGGGGAATCGATTCATTTCAGGGTTTCTTAGGTTTTTAGTTGGTTTGGCGGTCTAGGTTTTTTCAGTAGTGCCCTTCTCTCCCCTTTGTAGGGGAGGGTTCCCCTGCAAAAATAGACTACAGAAGAAAAAGAACGGTACCCTTATTCTAACCTCTCTACTGGAGGACGTAGGTGGTAGTTCCCGTGTTTGGCCCACGAAGAGTTGTCGAGTTTTCGGGGATCAGTTTGGGCAGCCCAGGTGTCATGCCTCTTCCCAAGATCGTGTACCAGGCCTTGAAGGACGGCAGTGCTGGCACCTCCGTTCGGCAGATCTCGCATGACAGCGGCGCGTCGCAGTCCGCCTTTTCCAGCAGACCTCCGGCATCAGCTCGGCACGGTGAGAAGCTGAAGCGCTTCCTGGCAGCGGTGAAGCACCGCCCTGAGCACTTTGAGTTGTACATCTCGAAGTTGCGCCTGGAAACGCTGAGTGAGGACGCGGACGTCCCCTTGGCTAAGCCTTGCCTCCTCATCGGGACTCAACCTGAACTCCCCTTGGCTAAGCCTTGCCTCATCGGGACTCAACCTGAACTCGCCTTGGCTAAGCCTTGCCTCCTCATCAGCTCAAAAGGGCGGATCCCGAACGTGATCGTGTCTTTGTGAGATCCACTTTCCTTGAAACTTTTTAAGGCCTGGTTCGGAAATATTTAGAGCAACGGTCAATATTTGTCGTCATGGGAATGGGGACGACACCGGGTACAATCACCGCACCCAATTCCCAGATTACAATGATCATTGACTGGCTCAAATGTTCGAATGGCAAACGGTGTGCCGAAATCGAAAACCTGCCACCGTATCTCCCACCAACTCGCGGCAGGTTTGAAGCTGCAATAAAGCGAGTCTTTCCTGGATGGGATGATACATTGCTTTGATTCCAGCATGCGCGGGGCTGCAGTTGAAGACATGCCAGAAATTTTGAGGCATGTGGCAGCTGTGCTCAATGGAGTAAACCCTGCTCGTTTGTGGCTTGCAAGCCTAGGTTGTTTGTATTGATGCAGATAGGCTATTCCCTGCACCGCTGAATTCCATGAAGAGGAAGAAAAGGCCTCAGCGGCACAGTTGACCAAGTGCTTGTCTGCATTGAGTCACAGTTTCAATGCTACCTCGCGCATCCGACTGTGCAGTTTTTGAGGTGTGATTTCTTGGCTGCTTGGATTATTGCCCTCAAGAGAAATATCTTGTAGCGGCGGCGGATACAGCACCTACGTTACGCACCTGCTTGAAGACATGCATGCGGGGAAGAGGGCAAGGCATTGCCAAGGCGTCCATCGCCAAGGTATTTGTGATCCTCTTGATCTGCTTTAGAGCCTTCAGAAGACAAAATGAAGAGCTGTGCCGGGAATTTGCTAAGGGTGAGAGCAGTTTGCAAGAACAGCAACGCCCCAAACTTTGGCCATACTGTGAATGAACAAAGTCTTGCACCAGCTAAGAATCCCTGGAATGATTCGATTCCCTGTAAATCCAACAAACGTTACGGTTTCAAGCACGGCGTCTTTTCGTTGTGCGAGAAGCGGATTTCGCAATGAAAATAAGAGCCCGGACCCTCAAACGTTCACCTCGAAGATGGGTGATTGCAACCCATAATTATGGAGTTAATTCCAACTTGTGATTCTACTAACATGTTTTTGCCTGACCCCTCAAGTGTCAACCTAAGTATTGCACCCCAAGTTTATGCTTGATAGGTGATTTTCCAGTTTCTCGCGGGCATTTTAAGGGTTCGGAACATCCCACATGTTTTTCCTCTTCCCGAATCCCTGGAGCAGCCCAAAGCTTTACCGGACCTTCCCCGTCACGAGGAAGGTGCCAAAGCCGAAGGCCGGATGTTGGGCTTCGAATCCGAACAATTTGCAGGTTTCTTTTCCTCATGGGGGCGGGGAGGGAGGGGAGGGAGGGGAGGGAGGGGAGGGAGGGGAGGGAGGGGAGGGAGGAGGGAGGGAGAGGGGAGGGAGGGGAGGGGAGGGGGAGGGAGGGGGAGGGAGGGGAGGAGGGGAGGGGGAGGGAGGGAGGAGGAGGGGGGGGAGGGAGGGAGGGAGGAGGGAGGGAGGGAGGGAGGGGGGAGGGGGAGGGAGGGGAGAGGGGAGGGAGGGGGGAGGGGGAGGGAGGGAGGGAGGGAGGGGGAGGGAGGGGGAGGGAGGGGAGGGAGGGGGAGGGAGGGGAGGAGGGGGAGGGGGAGGGAGGGGAGGGAGGGGAGGGAGGGGGAGGGAGGGGAGGGAGGGAGGGGGAGGGAGGGGAGGGAGGGAGGGAGGGGAGGGAGGGGGAGGGAGGGAGGAGGGGGAGGGAGGGGAGGAGGGGAGGGGAGGGAGGGAGGGAGGGGAGGGAGGGAGGGAGGGAGGGAGGGGAGGGGGAGGGAGGGAGGGGAGGGAGGGAGGGGAGGGAGGGGAGGAGGGAGGGAGGGAGGGAGGGGAGGGAGGGAGGGAGGGGAGGGAGGGGAGAGGAGGGAGGGAGGGAGGGAGGGAGGGAGGGAGGAGGGAGGGGAGGGAGGGGAGGGAGGGGAGGGAGGGGAGGGAGGGGAGGGGGGAGGGAGCCCAAATAAGCCCTAAATAAGTTCAGGTTTCTTTTGCGCTCCACTTATCAGGGGTCCCTTCGGTGAGTTAGAGTAATTTAGAGCAATCAATGTAACATTGCCTTGAATTGGGGGGTTGGTTGTTGGGGGGTCGCTTCAGGGACCCAGGAACTTCGGAAGTGAGTGCTCTTTCCATGGTGGTTGTTGGGACACATTTTGCATTTTTGCTTCTTGTGGTTTAGTGGTTGAAATTTGAAATTTAACCACGCTGCTAAGCTATGATAATTTTTTGGCTCCCCAATCCCAATGTCAACCAAGTCCCCCGTGTCCCCAACGGCTTGCGACTCGTAGACTTCGGCTCCAGCCACCCCCCGCGACTCGCAGTCGTTAGTCGCCATCCGGTTCCTTGGCTTCTTAGAGGGAGGGGTTCGTTGGTTTAGTGGTAGTTCGCGTATTTCGCCCACCAATCTAGGGGTTGATTCCTTTTCCATTCTTTTCAAGTTTCTAGAAAACAGCCGTTTCCAACCAGGGATTTTGATGGTTTCCTGAAAAGAAGGATCCCTGGAAAGAATGGGGAAGGTGCCCCTAGAACTAAGAGTTGTCGAGTTTTCGGGGATCAGTTTGGGCAGCCCAGGTGTCATGCCTCTTCCCAAGATCGTGTACCAGGCCTTGAAGGACGGCAGCGGCAGTGCTGGCACCTCCGTTCGGCAGATCTCGCATGCCAGCGGCGCGTCGCAGTCCGCCTTTTCCAGCAGACCTCCGGCGTCAGGTCGGCACGGTGAGAAGCTGAAGCGCTTCCTGGCAGCGGTGAAGCACCGCCCTGAGCACTTTGAGTTGTACATCTCGAAGTTGCGCCTGGAAACGCTGAGTGAGGACCCGGACGTCCCCTTGGCTAAGCCTTGCCTCCTCATCGGGACTCAACCTGAACTCGCCTTGGCTAAGCCTTGCCTCCTCATCAGCTCAAAAGGGCGGATCCCGAACGTGATCGTGTCTTTGTGAGATCCACTTTCCTTGAAACTTTTTAAGGCCTGGTTCGGAAATATTTAGAGCAACGGTCAATATTTGTCGTCATGGGAATGGGGACGACACCGGGTACAATCACCGCACCCAATTCCCAGATTGCAATGATCATTGACTGGCTCAAATGTTCGAATGGCAAACGGTGTGCCGAAATCGAAAACCTGCCACCGTATCTCCCACCAACTCGCGGCAGGTTTGAAGCTGCAATAAAGCGAGTCTTTCCTGGATGGGATGATACATTGCTTTGATTCCAGCGTGCGCGGGGCTGCAGTTGAAGACATGCCAGAAATTTTAAGGCATGTGGCAGCTGGACTCAATGGAGTGAACTCTGCTCGTTTGTGGCTGGCAAGCCTAGGTTGTTTGTATTGACGCAGATAGGCAATTCCCTGACACCGCTGAATTCCATGAAGAGGAAGAAAAGGCCTCAGCAGCACAGTTGACCAAGTGCTTGTTTGCATTGAGTCACAGTTTCAATGCCACCCTGCGCATCGACTGTGCAGTTTTTGAGATGTGATTTCCTTGGCTGCTTGGATTGCCCTCAAGAGAAATATCTTGTAGCGGCGGCGGATACAGCACCTACGTTGCACGCCAGCTCGAGAAGAGGGCAAGGCAGTGCCAACGCATCCATCGCTAAGGTATCTGTGATCCTCTTGATCTGTTTGGGAGCCTTCAGAAGACAAAATGAAGAGCTGTGCCGGGAGTTTGCTAAGGGTGAGAGCAGTTCGCAAGAACAACAACGCCCCAAATTTTGGCCATACTGTGAATGGACAAAATATTGCACCACCTAAAAAACAACCTGCAATGATTGGTTTCCCCCTGTGAACCAACAAACAGTGGTTTTCCATGGTTTCAAAGTGGTGCGAAATGGATTTCGCCCACCGCTCTTCATGGGCTTGATAGAGAAATTGCTAGATAATATTTAGGATGATTAGTATAGCCAATAGTCAATGTGCGGAACCATGGTGTAAACTTGGTGGCTCCCAGCCATCCACTTAGTTTTTTAGACTTTTAGTGTTTAGTGGGGGTTTCCATTTGACCCACTAAAAGTTTAACTTTTGGCAGGGGATCTGAAGGCAGCCCACTAAAGAGAGAGTTGGCCCAACGCTGATTGGCCGTCCATCTGTTTCCCAATGCTTTCAGGCAAGCGACTCCTCAGGGGGAAATATGGTCAAAGGGTCGCATGGGTCACTTGGAGGTTAGCCTAGATGCAGAGAAGCTGACGTTCTCCGGCAAGGCCCCAGCCGGGTCGCTTCGGTCGGTGAAGTGGAACCCGGGGGCTTTCAAGTCAAGGTGTCTCTCAAAATAGGAATCGAAATGCTGAGGTTTCGATGAGGGGCTCCCTTGTTTCCACACACACACACACCCGATCCGCAACCGGGGGGTGCCCTTGGTCGACTCCCAAAAAAGGAATCCGTTGCCGTGGGCGTCCTCTATTTGGATTTTCTCAACGGAGGAACCCTTAGACTGGTTCGTTTCGTTTGTTTTTCCGTTTAGAACGAAAGGGAGCTTCCTGAAGAATGACACTCATTTAGCAACACGCCCAAATGAGCGGGGAATGGGGGCAATGGGGAACCACCAGCCCTCGAAGCTGTTGCTGGACATGTGTGCCTTGCCAAGCTGTTCTTGCCGTGCTTCGTGGGGGTCCACGAGCTCAAGGGAGCCAAAAACAACAACCGTGGTAGATGAAGGTTAGCAAGGGAGAATCCAAAGCGTAAATAGCTGAGACCGCCTTCTTAATTCTTTATATGGTTCTGGGTAGACCAGTTTAATGGGTTTTTTTTCATTGTGACTCGAGGGAACTTCTTTGCAGAGAAGTCATGATGTGATTTACTTGCAGAAATCACATGAGCTTTCGCGCCTCCGCAGGAAGCGTTCCTGGGCACATCCCAAGGGCTGACCGAATGATTCATTTCGACAGAGATACCGTGCATTCCAATGAGTGGTTTCCCAGAAGGATGAGGAGGCAAAGGCCTGGTAAATGGCTTATAGAACTCATCCAAGCCAGTGCCATCTATTTCTTACCCAACAAAGCTCTAAAAAACACCTATGCTTACTAATGGCCCCCGGAAAAAAGGGGGGTTGGATTACCCCCTCAAGATTGGATATTCCGGGTCGACACTATATATGTATACACTATAGTATATATATATATATATATATACATATATATATATATGTACACATACACTGCATATATATATATATATGCACACAATATATACATATATATATATATATATATATGCTATCCTCGAACAGATGATTATGCCCCTCGTTTCATCCCTCGAACAGATGACCAAGCCCCAAGGGTAGTCAACAAAGGCGAAGACTTTTCCTTTGGTTTTCCTCTGACCAACTGTCTGCTCCTGTTGGGTGCTGGGTCAGTCAGAGGGCGTGCCCCCCAGTTGAGTGATTGAATTGCACCCTTTGAAGTCCTGATCAGGAAGGGGATCCAACCTCAATCAAAAAGGACTTACCTCAACAAAAAGCCATCTGGCTTCTGAACTTTTTGGTTGGATCTTTAGACAGCTTTTGCGGACACGACCATGTTTCCAACCAAGCGCAAGTTCATATCATCTGTGCAAACCATCTCAATCAGATCTCCACTTGCAGGGGCTTGTTCGATCCATGAGCTCTTCGGACGCTCGGCGTTGGTTGGGATTTCTTCGGAAGGCCCACGGGAACTGCTACGAGTTCGACATGGATTTTTTTGCTCGCCGCCCAGATGGGAACCTCGGGGGGCCCAGTTAGGTGATTCCATTTGGGTGAACCGAGCGTAGGGTTGGGTTGAGTGAGTCCATGGTGTGTGTTTTTTGTTCAACTTGCATTTCTGTGTTGGTTGAAGCACCGAGTTTCAGTTGGCTTGGTGGGGGGGGGTTGTGTGTGGGGGTTGCGTGGTGTGTGTGTGTGTGTGTGTGACGGGAGGTGTCTGGGCAGTGGAGAAAGTCCTGCAAATCAAACGCTTTCAAAAATCCGGGTCAGCATGAGAGAACACCATCCTGTTCAACGTGAAAGAACAACCTTGGTTGCCTACACCTTTTCTGATCCTGTTTGAAATTGCTGTACATTTGGGTTTGTCTCATTTTAGTAGCCCCCTAAAACGGCAACGGTTTCTGTGTGTCTCCTTTTTACAACGTCCCAAAAAAGAGTAGCTTCAGAAAAGGGTGCGAGAGCGACCCATTTCGAGGTCTGCGTGCGTTTTGTGTCTTTTGTGTCATTGGGGAGAAGTTTGGTCCAACCTTGAAAAACGACAGACACCCAACTGGAGGTTGAGGTGCCGGGTCTTGCGTTTTTTTTCTCTTCTGGGGATCAGCCATTGCATGATGCATGTGGTAGGATTCGTTTCTCCGACGGGTTTCAGGCGCCGATCGTCAAGGAGGAGTCCAAGTGGAGTACCAAGAGGTGGAGATCCCTACTGTGGATGGCTGCGAAATCCTTTTTGCCCACTCAAGTAACCGTGTTGGTGTTTATGTTGGGGAACCATATCGTTCCAGGGTTTTGGAAGTGGTGCGATTTCTAGATTTCGCAACCATCCACAGTATGGGGCGAGACAGGGGTCCCAAATCTATGTTTGGTGGGTTTAAACATCACGTTTATTGATGCCCGCAAAATGTGTTTCTGCTGGTAGGAGTAGAAGGGTTTCCCCCTAGAAAAACGACGCCCTTTGGGATGATGGCAAGTTCATTTGTGACGTGGTCTCAAGTTATGAAGTCCTTAAGATGGGGCGTAAGGGCGGGGGGGTAAATGGGTGGAGCTTAAGGGAGCCTAAGGTTCTTGTCGGGGCCTTGAGGTGTCCTTGGGAAGGGAGTGCTCGGGTTTGCCAAGCTCTAGGAAGTGCTAGGGAAGCTTGTAATTATCCTTGGCAGATTCCAACTACCCCCTTACACCCCCCCCTAAGCACTCCATAGTCCACGGATCCACTGATCTCCTGTTTGTGAAGTCCAGTAATTTGGCCAGTTCGCATGCTCAGTTTCCTCGCGTCCAATTTTCTCAAGACACTTTTGAGTATGGTGCGCCAACAACCCCTGGTTTTTTCCTGATTTCTAACTTTTCGGGACACGGCTGTGGGCAATGACCACTTCTGTGATACAACAGAAAGGGCTTCCCAAAGACTATTTTCTTCATATAAAGGGGGATTCCCTTGTATCACAGAAGTGGGGAGAAACCCCTTGATCCCACAACCCTGTTTCGGGAACATCGTTGGTTTTTGGCAGGGGCTGTTGGGCTTCTAGAAGGTGAGAAGTGTTCCTCAGAAAAAGTCGGTTTTTTTCTCAAGCTCCTCAAGCTGGCCCACTTGGCCTTGGGTCCTTGGCCCGGGTTTCTTGCCCAGGTCCCCCAGTTGCCCTGTCTCACCAGTAGTTTTTGGTTGGGAGGGTGCCCCTACTAAAATAGACAAGAAAGAGAAAAGTGCTGGAGGACCTACTTGAGCCGTCTTTGCCCATGGCAAATGCCTCCTTGTGTGGTGAAGGGGATCAACGCCTTAGCCCAAGAAAACCGATTGGGTATTGGGAGTGTGGGAAGCGGCGTCGAGGTGTGTTCTTGCCGGGGGGGGGGCTGTAAGACGGTTTGGATCCGCACGTTACCAGTTCTTCGCCTTGTGGTTCTTCAAGAGAGTAGTCTTTTCACTAGCAGCATCCAAGCTGCTTTCTGGATTGTTGGGTCATTCAAAGGGGTTTTCAAGTCTTGCCTTTATTTGTTTGTTGGCACTTAGACCCTTTGAAAGTATATGATGTCCTTTCGGTTTTCCTTGCACCCTTCCACAGGGGTCCCCGATCGTTGGACATCTCGGCGTTTGATTGTTTCAACTTTTGCAGGGGTCTTGACAGTGACATCCTCAGAATCTCTCTTTGAATGTTGGTTCAAGGGGAACTGGCGGCAACGTAAGTTTGGCAACTCCTCAACATGTTATGAAGCATAGGTGCCCTGTGTAGGTTAGTTTGGTTAGAGTTCGATAGCACTGCTTTAGATGGTTTGTATAAGCCATTTACCTGGGCCATCTATTTTTTCCAAACGGTCACCTTACTGTGGATGGGCGAAATCCTGCACCACATGGGACACCACGACGTTTGTTCGCGTTTGCGTTGGGGAATCATGTCATTCCGGTGGGGCTTCTTAAAGGTCGCGGATTTCGCAACCACAGTGGGCAAGCAGGAGTCTTACAAGACTTGATGCTTTCCCTGGCCTACCATAGTGCTAACCAGAAGAGCGACCGGTAAGAAGTAGGTGGTAAGTGTTTCGTGAGCAGCCCAGTTTCTTCCCTGGTCAAATGGAGAAAGGAATCGTCGGCTTCCGGGTGTGCCAGCGAGTTTCCAGCACGAAAGAAGCTGGGCCCCTTGAGTGACATCCCTGAGCCCTCAGAACTCCAACTTAATCGTTTTTGTGTTACCCAAACTTCTGGTTGGCGAGTTCCATTTTGTTTGTGTAGTTTGAGGGTCCAGGAGTCCTCAACATTTCCTTCTGAAAGGTGGATGAATAAAAACCCGGATCACAAAAGTAAACTTGAGATCAAGACGCTTCGCTTTGAGGGACGCAGGATGTACACTTTTTGCATCGGAGGTGTCTCAGGCTTCCCTTGGCTTCCCTTGGGTCCGAAGTGGGGGCGCCGCCTCAAACTTGTGGCTGGCTCGTCTTTCTTTTTCGTGGCCCCGAAATTGGTTTGGTTTCAGGGAAACCTGAGAGGGTTCCACTTCTAGGGTCCGAATTTCAAGAGCATTTTATCATGAACTGCATGAACTGCATGGATGAAAATGTGTGGAGTGAGCCCTTTTCATGAGGTTTCTTGAGGGTGAGTGCTTCGCAGAACTCTGAGTTGGAGGTGTGGAGGTCCACCGAAGCGATGGTCGGGGGTATTTGAGAGAGGGTTCCCCTTTTTGGGGGGGTTCCCCCATTTCTGTAGCCAACGTTGACCCCGAATTCATCTGGTAGATCAATGAATTGGCGTTTCCGATGCCCAAAAGTCCAAGACTCCCTTTGGACCCCCCCCTTATGAACAAGTTTTTTTTTTTTTAAGCATTTCCCATTTGAATTGCAATGTAAATGGCGAAACACTTTGAAGGGGGTGGGGTACTTAAAAGCCAAACTTAGTCATGGAAGAAGGTGTCTAATTATTTAGCCCCTATTACATCTGGGCAACCCCCCCAATCTGCAGTACTTGGGGAAGCGACACTTCGTATTCAACAAGATGGAGCGCGAAGACACCCGGGCTTGAAAAGCAAGATCAGTCCGCAGGCTTTGAAGCTGGCCACTCGCATGAGGATTTTTCCCTCGGGTTTAGCAGGGCTCCTTAAACGATTAGCATGTTGCAACCATTTGAAACATGTTGCTTTTTCCTCCAAATTAAAGGGAAACCACCATCTACAAGGCAATGTTCAGGTGATAGTGTAAGGATCCCTGTTTAGAGAGAGAATAATTTCCCAATACTGTGGATGGATGAGATCCATTTCGCACCACTTTGAAATCATGGGAAGCCGTTGTTTCTTGGCATTTCAATAGGAAGTATCATTCCCGGGTGTCTTAGGTGGTGCAGGATTTCGTCCATCCACAGCAGGGGGTGATGTTTGAAAGGGGAAGTCCACGTTCAGCCTCGCTTTCAACCATGCTTTCTTTGTCAAGACTGCTGTCAGTTTGGCAGGCATCATGCGCATTGCTTCTTGTTTTTTGTGGGGTAAACACTTATCGACACGCTAAAGAAAACACAATTCTCGCGCAGGCAGTACCGTTTCGACGTCAATTGTTCTTCAAGCCAGGCTGTAGCGAACGCTGCGATGGCGTATGGACCAGGTGATAGCGGCAGAGCCGCTGAAGAATCTTGCAGGGCAGCGATGGCGGGTCTGGAGCGAGACAGAGGTGTTGCCCACGGTGCGCGGAAAGTCTGCTTGGCAGATAAATGGATGACCATCCTACTTAGTAAGTGGTTCGTATCCCCACCGGTGCGTAACCAACTTGGGATTTGTTAACTAGGGATATTAATCACTTACTGAGTGGGGTGATCATCCAAGCGCCGCCATGAACACCTACTTTGCAGGGCCGACCGCAAGGAACTTATCATGGCCAAAGCGGCACGTTCTTCCAGCATCGCGCGCCCTTCTCTTGCCCGGTGTTTCCTAAAATGAGGGACCTCCAAGCATTGGTTAGTTTAGCTCTGTTCCCGCTTGGGCGTTGTTTACAAACAATACCCCGAAAAAATGGAAGGGGTCACCCCCCATTTTCGGACATCACTTGCCACTTGCAAACCAGCCGCGCCAGACTAATCGAGTTCTACCTGAAGAAGGAGAAGGAGGGCACTTGGACGAACCTCAGCAAGAAGAAGTTGCCCTGGGTGAAGGCTTCGGGTGGGTTCATCTTTCTGCACCCGGCAGGATTTGGGACCCTGGCCTGTAGAAAAGCACTTGTTTGAAGCATCAAGGTGAGTTAACTGCTGGGCGTCGCAGTCTCCAAATCCGATCGGCCTTGGCTGAAAACCGGTAGTTTTGCATGAGTTGCAGCGGTGGGTCCAACTTGCAAGTCTGCGCAACCCCTCGTTTTCCCTTCGTGTGGCTGAAGGGTGCCGGTAGGCTGCAGCAGCGGAAGGCTTGGTGGGTGAATGGTTCGAACTCGCCAAAATTGTTTCCCAGCGCGTCGACGCGCACCAGTATATTAAGTCATCTGGGGAAGTTCAGGTAAGGACAAAGTCCTGGTTAACTGTCTCTCGTGGTTTGCCCCTTGAAGCACGTATTGTCCCCCCACCCTTTGGCCGAAGTACCTGCCAGGTGGATTGGAAGAGATGGCAAGACTCGGACGACGAGGCGGAGGAGGGAAAGAAAGATGCATGGAATTTGGACGGCGCCTGGGCTTGAAGTTGGGGACGCCCGTGTTCGGTGTTGCCGCTGTTCTCGCCTTTCTTGCAGTGAACGTTTTGATGCACCGATGAGCACGCTCGGTCTTTTCTCGGACCCCGAAAGGAACAACAAAGAGCCCGAAAGGCCTGCTTCCGAAGCTTGAAAGACCCCAAAGACCATGCTCCCAACAGGTAAGGTGGCTTTTGTTCATTCATTATGTCAGTTTAGCTCATGTCTACTTGGTGGATTGGAGCTCGGTGTTTTGGGTTGCTGTTCCGAGGCGGGAGCCCATTTATCCTCCACTTGTAGAGGTTCAAATCCCCAAACCAATCCAAATTCGTTCCACAGCCCCCAGATACCAGTATACTGGGAAGATCTGGGAAGGGAAGGGAAACCAAACTGTAAGACCTAGAGGTAGAAGCCAAAGCTCTGGACACACAGTTCTTGGCAGTTGAGTCTGTGGGGAGTGTCCCTCGCTAGTTCTCAAGGATTCGAATGTTAAGACAAGCTGCTCCGTTTCACGATCGGCGGATTTTTTTTGGGGGCGAGGTCTGGGACAAAACGTGCTCATTAGGATGTAGATCCCCTTACTCGCCGTTTTGGCTCCCCCGCTGCGGGTTGGGAAGCGGCAATTTTCTGGGGTGCTTCTGTCCACATGTGGCCCCCGAAGAGTTAGAATGAATGTCGGCAGATGAAGCAAATCCCTGGCCTCCTTCGCCTGGCCGTGAAACTCCTTTCGGGTTCGGACTGGAGGGCGCCCCCTGATGGACGGCGTCCTGCACCACTTTGAAACCCATGGGAGCCATTGCTTGTGAGTATTTACAGGGGAATCGAAGCATTCCAGGGTGATTCATCCGTCAACATTGGTGGAGCTTTCCAAGCTCCACAACAAACCAGTTGGGGGGGGGGGGAGAGGGGAAGCTGAAGGCTTCAGCCGGGGTTAGTTGGGGTGGGCGTGTGGCTATAACTTTACTTGGGTTGATCAATATTCCCTTCGGCCCCCAAATCACCATGGGTAACTTTTCCATTTTAGACATGTCCGGTTGTTAGCAGTTTCCCTAATGGCCATCCCATGAAAAGGACCCTTTGATCAACCCTCACTTGGATGTTAGTGATTAGCCACCTGTGTTATAACCCATCAACACACTCATGAACAAGGTGAACTCTACTGGACGGGGGACCTATAAGCCGGTTATAGCCTAGGTTACTTACTATCTTGGCTGAACACCCAATGTAGGTTGTACCCAATGTAGGTTGTAGCCATGGTTGTAAGTGAGATCAAGGGGGAGGCTGATTAGAGGAACCACAGCTGCATTTTCCGTTTGGTTATTGAATGGGGCACCCCTTGGTTTCAAGTTTCGGATGGAGTCAACTGAAAAGGCCAGTTTCTCCCATTGGATTGGTACCGCAAAGGAAAGCACCCCTGGAATACCTCCATCCAAGCCACCATCCAACCGCCTTTTTTGACACGGACACCTCCATTTTGCGCGTTTGCGATCCGCTGGTATGTGGCTGTGGGTCAAAATCAGTGGTACCATCTTGGGGTAACCTATTTTAGTGGTTGGATTGGGACGTTCACTGGGGAACGATTTGGATTTTGACCCCCAGCCGTGTGGGCCTGTTTTTTTTTTGTCTTTTTGGAGGCCTTTTTAGAGGTTGGTTTGAAGTGGAACGAGAGGGGTCCACTGGTTTGCGGGGGTTCCCCTTTTAGGGAGCGTCGTTTTTTCTTTGAGTGGTTTCAACTGGAAACCAACAGGAAACTCCAAAAAAGACACACGTTTTCTAAGACACACCCAAGTGGGAAGATATATCTTCTTCGATTTTCCTTGTGGTCGTCCTTTGAAACCACCACAAAAAGGCCCCCCCCCTCAACCAAAAAAAACAAACAAAAAGCACGACACGTCCAAGTGGGATAAGCGGGATGGTCCTCCAACGTCGCGTCGTTGGAAAGCCGAGGTCTAGGCGACATGAACTTCGGGGACACCGGGGAGTTCGACTCCGACGACGAGGCAACCCCGCGCGCGCGCGCGCGGGCGTGGGTGGGTGGGTGGGTGGGCGGGCGGGCGGGTGGGTGGGTGGCTGGGTGGGCGGGCGGGTGGGTGGGTGGGTGTGTGTGTGTGTGTGTGTGTGTGTGTGTGTGTGTGTGTGTGGGTGGGTGGGGTGGGTGGGTGGGTGGGTGGGTGGGTGGGTGGGTGGGTGGGTGGGTGGGTGGGTGGGTGGGTGGGTGGGTGTGGGTGTGTGGGTGGGTGGGTGGGTGGGTGGGTGGGTGGGTGTTTGTGTGGGTGGGTGGTGTGTGTGTGTGTGTTTTTTGTTTTTTGTTTTTTGATGCTTTGGATTGGTAGCCCTCAATTGGTTTTTGGATTTGGAAATCCAAGTGGGAGTTGGTAACCCTAGATCAAAGGGAACTCCGGTAACCCTCAAATAGTTTGGATTGGTTTGGATTGGTGAATAGGACACGTTCGGAACACCTTCGAGCCACTGATTCGGCTCCAAATTCAGGCAGCCTGAGGAAAGCCATTTCAAAACCATGGCCTTGGCACGTACAAATGCAGCCAGAAGTCTGTGGGGTCTCAATCTGGGGTCTCCGATCTGTCTGCTGTTTTTTCTTTTGCGGCAACATATCAAAAAGAATCGGAAAGTAGGGCACTTTCCTGGATGGTGGACAATCAAATTGAACCCCATCTATTGACAGGCAATGGTCCAATCGAAGGGAGGTCGAACTTGATTTCCGCCAGGGACCTGACTTTTTTTGGGCGGTAGACCTCGAATAAATGGAAAGCTCGCTTTCCAAAAACGAAGTACTTCCCGTCTTTCAGCAGGTACATCCTTAGGTTTTTCTCAGGACGCGGGAATCTCAAGACTTACTCCGCCGCATCGTTGAGCCTTCGCAGTGAAGAGGATCCAACCGTAGTTGACACCCCATGGTTTTTTGTTGCTTCGGTTGGGAATGTTTGGGCTAACCTTCTGGGGTACCCGTTTGTAGGTCTGCAACTTCACGGAAAGAGAGCCGAC